ACGTCCCTGCGGCCCCTGGGGGAGGGAGGTGCAGAGGGCTCCATGCGCTGCCCCTGCCTGCAGGCACCACCCCCACAGCTCCCATTGGCCAGGAATGGAGAACTGCAGCCAATGGGAGCTTTGGGGGTGGCACCTCCAGGCGAGGGTGGCGCACGGTGAAGCCTCCTGCCCTACCCCACCCCCAGGAGCCACTGCTGGACATGCTGGCCTCTTCCAGGAGTGGAGCAGGGCCAGGGCAGGCAGGGAGCCTGCCTTAGCCCCACTGTGCACCACTGTCACCCCGGAGCCACTCCAGGTAAGCGGCGCCAGGCCAGAGTCCACACCCCGAATCCCTCCTGCACCCCGCACCCCAACCCCCTGCCCTGAGCCCCCTGCCACACCCCTCCTGTACCCCAGCCCCTTGTCCTGAGCCCCTTCCTGCATACCGCACCCTCTCCCACACCCCAACCCTCTTCCCTGAGTCCCCTCCTGCACCCTGCACCCCTCCTGCACCCCAACCCCTTGCCCTGAGCCCCTTCCTGCACACCGCACCCCCTCCCACACCCCAACCCCCTGCCCCAGCCCTACATTCATGGCCCTGCATACAATTTCCCCACCCAGTTGTGGCCCTCGGGCCAAAAAGTTTGCCCACCCCTGCTCTAGGAGGGTATCAAACCCTCTGAAATTCCCAAAGTTTACTGAGAACCCATAAAGGCTTTAAAACCTATGCCACTGCTATTTAGGAGGCAAATAAATCCCACTTCTCCTATAGCAGAGATGCAGCAAAATCATGCCCCACAGAATTTTTTGGGACTAAATAACCATTTGATAAACTGTCTTTACTCAATCTCAGAACCCAGCATTTCCTGCTGCAAGAAATCATCTTATTTTACAGAGAAGTTCATTTAAATCCATCTCCCCTCAACAAACACAACAAAAACAAGCCAAGAGCAGCAACAGAAACAATACTCTTTCCAAGAATTCAGGCCAGTAACACAAACAACAGTCATGGGAGCACTAATGGCAACCAGAGCCACCACATATGATTGACCCCTGCCCTTCCTGGATGGTAAGAGAGTAGAGAATTCCTGAGATCCTTAACTAACAGCTTGTCAACATCTATTACTCCTAGGGAAATTCTGTGCCAAAAAAAATTAAAATTATGCAACAAAAAATTAAAAATACTGTGCACAATATTTTAAAATTCTGCAAAAATGTGCATATTTTATTTGTAAAAATAACACAACATAATCACACCAGTTTCAATTATTTTTGGTCATTTATTTCAAAATACCTGTCAGCAAGCATGTCTGTAACAATACAGACAACAAAAAAGATTCAGGAAATGTTTTTTGACAAATAGATTTCTTCCTAGACATATTAATACAGAACTCAGAGTAATAATTCATTTAAACTATAATACAAAATCGTATTTCCCGCACCCCTCTGAAGCAGTGCAAAGGCTTGGGGGAATCAAGTAAATTGCTGTGAAGGAGTCTAGGTATGAACTTGAAGGGTTGTTGGGTGTGGGTGGGAAAAGTATGGAACAGGGTTTTTTGGGGGTGGGGGGTGGGGAGGGATTGTTAGGAAGCTTCCCCCATGCAGACCCTGGCTGACCCCAGCCTCTCCCATTCAGTCAGGCACATCTGCCCTTTTCCCCATGTGTTCCTGCACCTCATGTGTCCTTGCACCCCCTGTCAATGTGTCCCTCCATCCCCACTCAGACACCCACTCCCCCCATCCCCATTTGGTCCTGCACCTCCTCCCCATCCCAATGTGGCTCTGTACCCCTCCCCCATCCCCATGTGTCTGTGCCCCCACCCAGCCACTCCCCATCCCTACATGTCCCTGTCCCCCCCCCCCAACCTCATGTGTCCCCACCCAGCCACTCCACTGTCCCTATGTGTCCCTGTCCGCCCTCCCTGTCCCCATGTGTCTGTGCCCCCACCCACTGTCCCTATGTAGCTCTGCACCCCTTCCCCATCACCATGTGGCCCTGCACTTCACTGCCCTCTGTGTCTCCACTCCCATTCAGCCCCTGCCCTAGTCTATCTTCCCTCATTAGCCCTTATGAGCCCCTGTCTGACCCCCACAGCACCCCACACTGTCTGTCTCTCCATTTTCTCTAAATGACCTGGCCCACTGCAAAGAAGGCAGGCCTCTCTCTCTTCCGTCACTGGCAAGGAGCTGCTGCTTTGTTCCATCAACACACAGCCCTCTGGTGGGCAAAAGGCGGAACTGCAGCAACATTTTGGCAGAGGCTTTTTTCTGCGCAAAAAATTAAAAATATACAGGACTCATTAATTATGCACATGCACAGTAGTGCAGAATTCCCCCAGGAGTAATCTATTTTGGCAATGGGAATCTACCACCCAATCTAATACATGGAATAGTCTAGACTGCAATAAAGAAACTATAAATTAAGGGTACAGAAAACAAACAACCAATCAGTCAGTAACCTTTTTTTAAGTAAGTTTCCCCTACCCTACTTATCAGCTGGAAGTATACTAGCCCTCTCTCAATTAGGCCCCAGGATTATTATTATTTTTTTTAACATTATTTTAAAGGAGACTTAAAAGAAAAAAAATTGGGTTGTGCCCTTTCTGCTTCATTATGATATTTAAAGAAGCCTGACTGTTACTTTTTTAAAAGGGTTTCATGTGAGACTGAAAGAGAAGCACCAAAAAACACAAAAAAAGCAGCAAATATAGTTATCAAACTGCAGATTTAAATGAAGGCAAGTAGCGACTCCATAAACTTTTAGAGGACAATCGCTTTGGGATCACACTCTTGATTACAGTTGCATTAAGACTTACCTTTTCAGGCACTTCTAAATGAAATACTGTTAGAGCTTGTTTAAAGACTGCCTTAGAGAGAGCTCCATCACTCTTCTGATCCCGTTCTCGGAAGTATTTTCCTAATCCTGTTACAACACGAACTCCCCTTTTACTTAGCTTCTCTTTAAGTATACCTAAGGATCAGGAGAAATAAAAGAAACAAGGTTTACATGAAGATGTTTTGAAGGTGTTTTTCCAAAAAACTCCCATTTACCACACTGCTAGTTAAACAGCACATCCATACAGCCAAGTTCCCTTGTTTTTGAAGTATAAGCGTTCTCAACACTGTACTGCAGTTTGGAATGCGAGATGTGAATAGCAGTGCACATCAAAATGCTGTGCTGTAAATCCCCTATGTGGACCCTATCAGCATGAACGTAAAGGTTCCTACTTTGCATTAATGTATGCCTGTTTGAAGTGAATTATGTTAATGTGAAACAGTAAAGTCTTCTCTCTGAAAGTCTATCAATTGCAGTGTACAGATGAATTAAATCTTCCAGTGAACATGAATAAATGTGCCCTGACATCTTTATTTGTAAGCAAAATATTCAATATGCAGATGATGGAAATCTAGAACAAAGTGTATTAAGAATGATCAAAAGAGCTATCCAACGTAAAGCTATTTTCTCAATGCTGTATCAGTGACAAATGGGCAAAATCTATTAAAATTCAGTGTCACATGAATGGGGTTCCATAACATTTCTTTCATACTTATGTCATTACTGAAAGCAACATTTTACACATTACATTTGTAACTAATCTATACATGAGCTTGTGCTGGGCTTTTCCTTTGTCAAAACAAAATGAAAATTCTCAAAGAACACACATATTTAAAGCACAAAGTGAAAGACATTTATGTTTGCATTCCTTTTCTCTGTTGTCTGATGCCAGTAGTATTAATTATTGTATTAACTTAAATATCTTGCTTGTGTTTATTTCTTTAAAAAAGAAATAATTTAAAAAACTTGTTAGTGCTCTTTTAGATGAGTAGCAAAGACACTAACAAAAAATTAAATGTAATTGTGATAAGTATACAAACCTTGAACAACCCTGAAAACTCTGCTCTCATCAATCTCTTGCTGGGTAATGTCTTGCTTGATTCCCACAGAAGTAGTTCTAAAATTAATCAGTTCATAATGATAAAGTTACCTATATTACCAAAACAAAAAGATTGCTACCAAAAATATTCTGAACAGAAAAAAAAACAAACATGATCCTTATATCACTCATCAGCACACTAACTGAGTGCCTGAACTTTAATAGATACTGGCACACAAAATGTTCTTGTGCCATAACAGTAGGATTGAGAAATTTCTTACCCAATAATCTTCTGTTAGCAGTTTCTCTCTTTCATCACTAATAAGAAACACTTCTCACCTGTGGAATTCAGCAGCAATGGTGTTGCTGGAGGCTCTAGTACTAAACCCCTCCCTTTAGCTTAGGCCACCAGATGAGTTTTTCCAAAGCTGTAGAAATACTCCAGCAATCAATTATTAGCATTAAGATGACAAACTGATATAATATATAAATAATCTTAAGGTAATTATATGTCTAGGTCTCCATTTAGAGAAAAAATTCAATTTGTTACAACAAATTGTGTTATAGTCATTTACCAGACTGCTAGGGCCGGTTGAATAAGAAGAGATGCTGCTAAAGCAAAAAAAATTATCAGGTAAGAAATTTCTCACTCTGCTGAACAGCTTCTTTCCTCATTCACCACTAATGGGAAGCAGTGAGCAATGAATCACAGAAATGGGGAAGGCACAGGATAAGCAGAATTTTAATTATTATCAGAGTCAAATAATTAGCAGAAATACAAGACCCTCCATACAGAGCAAGACTTTTGTCATTTAAGGAATTATTTGGGAACAAACCCAGCAACACCTTCCTACCATTCTGCAGAGGAATGGAACTCTACTTTGCAAATCTTCCTCTGACAAGTCTCATACACTTTTCCCCATAATGCCACAATGGATCTGGTTGATGGAGTCCTGACTCCCCTTCATAGTTTCCCAGGTGCAGGATTTTAACATCTTGCCTGCAACAACTTTGAGGCCCTAAGCCTCTATCTTGGATAGAATGAAATGAACAAAGTACAACTGGGATGTGTAATTAACTGATTCGGAGCTGCCCTGTAATAATTTATTGATACTGTACATTGGCCTGGTTACTGAAATGTTTTCTGTATGACTATATTGTTTAACTCACTGGGGGTCAGTCTGGGATACAAGCAAGAAGGAGGAGATGGCTCCTGACAGCAATCCACCCATCAACTGACGGGTTAGAGTTGTTAAGGGCCAATGCCAGAACTGTTATTTTTGATTATATTAGTATTGACTATCTCAGTCTCCAGATGACCTACAAAACTGGTTCTGACTAGGAACAACCAAAGACCCAACTAACACAGAAACAAAAAAAAAAAATACTCTGGCAGGATTTAAAGGGGCAGTCTCTCAAGAAAAAGCCAGCAGCTGTTCAGGGGAATCTAGCAGACATAGGAACCTGCCATGGGTGTTTGAAAGTTATGTCTCCCTTGGTTACCATCAGCAGATGGCAAGATAGATGTGTGTAGGCTGCTTTAAAACCTTTTTTCCTTCAGTACTTTGTTTCTACTGCTAAATAAACAATACATTTATTTTAAGAAGTCTGTGTGGTCACTATTTACTTCTGGCTGCAGACTCCCAAACTCAGTAGGAATTGCAGGGTAACAACAGTTGATACACAAGGTACCATAGCCCAAACCTGACTAAAAGCAGGAGAATTGCAAAATTCCACCCTGGGGTGGGTAAAGGCTCTAGAGGGTGAGCTCACAGAGACAATCAAAGGGAACAGAAGTGCAGTTAGTCCTGTAACCCTAATGCCCATTTATGCTTCAACATTCAGAGGTGCTAAGCATTGCAACAAAATGATAGAAGAATCATTTCACAGGAATTGTGGAAAGAACAATGGACTCTGAACAGAAAGGTTTCTGGAGCTAAAAGAACAACCTTTTCCTACAACAATAGTAGAGTTGTTCTTGAATGGACAGAGGAACGAATTCCAAACTCAGTCTTTTGGACCAAATGTCATCTAGAAAGCCCTGCCACAGACTTGTCTAATCTGTCATTCTGACAAATCTTGACACCTGATGATACTCAAATGGGGAGACCACCTAAAGAACAATGCTAGAACTGTTACACCCTTTTCTATGGTTACAGGACTCTAATCAACCAACCTGGAGAAACTCTAGTGTGGCTGAGATCACCAGAATTGTGTGGTTATTATTATAACTTGTATTATGATAATATATGGACACCAGGGTCCCATTGTGTTGGGCATTGTATAAATAAAGAGCCAATCCCTGCCCCAAAGAGCTTTCTGTTTCCCCTCACACCAGAAACATAATTTGACCAGATCAATTAATGAAATTTCCTGGTTGAGTTCTGTCTGGATACCAAAAAGTACCGATGAGACTAATGCAAGAAATCCCACTTAACTACACATCTTTTCTGATGCCCAGGCTGTTAATATAGGTTGCCCAGGACCATATGAAGGAGAAGCCCTTGCATCAAGGAAAGTGTGTTTTTTGCAGGTTCAATGGAAGGGGGTGAAGGCACAACTTTGCAAACTGGACCACCTGCATGTGGCCCAGGAGTTGCAGACTGAGATTGCAGACTGAGGCAAAGATGGCTAGTTGTCTGAAAATGGTCAGTAAGCAGGAATGTTCTTGACAGCATGGAATCTAACAGAGTCCCAATGAACTCTATTTTTTGAGTGGAAGCCAAGATTGACTTTACGGTGTTTAGATGAGACCCAGACAGTCGAGCAAGTGCAGTGTGGTGCTAATTTGAGCAAGAACTTGCTCTCTGGATCTGCCCCTCAGTAACCAGTCATCCAGATACAGGAAGATGTAAAGCCCCTTCTTCCTGAGATACACTGTAACGATGACCATGCATTTGGTAAAAAACACAGGGGGCAGAAGATGGGCTGAATGGAAGCATTGTGTACTAAAAGTGGCATTCCGCCACGATGAACCAAAGGAACTTTCTGTGGCTTAGTAAAATCGCCATGTGAAAATAGGTGTCCTGAAGGTTCAGAGCAGCAAACAAGTCATTCTGAGACAATGCAGAGAGGATAATTGATGGAATGACCATTCAGAACCTCATGTACTGGATATATTTGTTGAGTCCACGAAGGCTGATGATGGATCTTACTCCTCCCTTGGATTTGGGTATTGGGAAGTACCAGGTATTCTGGTGGAACCTCGTCCACTGCCAGCACAGAGCAGACCTGCTTGAGGAGCAGTATCTCATGAGAGGGGTCACTGAAGAGGGACGGAGAGGAGCTGGATGGCATAACCCAATCTGATGGTGCTTAGGACACAGCTGTTGGTAGTAATCAAGCCACAAATATTAAGAAAGTGGGCCAGCCTGTCCCCAAAGAAGTGAGATGAAGACAGAGAAGCAACTACTGGAACAGTGCTCTGGACCCAGGAGTTAAAATGGGAACTTGGAATGTCGACCGGTCAAACCCCAGGGGAGGGTATGTGGACTGGTCAAACCCCAAACTGCTTTCTCCTGTTTCCGGGGATAGTTCCATTGCCTCGGAGGAGGGAAGAACATGCACTGTGGCTCCTGCTGTTAGTCACCATGGTGGCGCCTCTGCACTGCCAGCGTGTACACCCCCAATGACCACAGGTAGCCCTGCAGTCCTTGAAGGAGTGCAGTGTCTCATCAGTTTTGGCCAAGAACAGCATCTGGCTGTCGAAGGGCAAATCCTCAATAGCTTGCTGAACATTGGGCGTAATATGAGAAATATGCAACCAGCCCTCCTCATGACGACCGCAGAGAGCATCATCCTGGCCAATGTGTCTGAGCCATCAAGCAGATTGCAAGGACATTTTAGCCACCAAACAGTCCTCATTGACAGAAGTCAGAAATTCCTCCCGTGAGGCCTCAGGCAGCTGGTCTTGTCATACTTGGACAGCTAGGCTTGCTGGTTAGCAATTTGCATCTGTAAGGAAGAGGAGGTATAAATCTTTCTGCCCATCAGGTCCAATCGTTTAGAGTCCCTATCCTTGGGGGTGGACTTAAACCTGCCCTGCTGGACTCTGTCGTTCACCGCAGTTACAACTAGGGAATTTGGGGGCAGATAGAAATAAAACCCCATAAATCCCTGCACGGCAATGAAATAGCGCTTCCCCATGCACTTATCCACAGGCGGTACTGAAGCCAGGGTGTTCCAGAGGGCCTTAGCCAGTTCTAGGAGCACATCGTTGATAGGGAAGGTGACTCTCCCAGGAGAAGACAGCTGTAAAATGTCCACCCATTTGTGGGTATTCTCCTGTAAGAACTCAGCTTGGATACCGAGGGAAGCAGCTACACATCTCAAAAGGTCTTGGTACATCTTAAAAATCCTACAGTACCAAAAGGGAGGATGAGTCAGGCAGCACAGCATCATCCGGAGATGAAGACAAGATCTTTAACTGAACCAAAGCTGGATCCTATTCCAGGGTTTATGGACCCAGACAGGACAACTATGGTGGCTCCACACAGATAAGGACCACCAGTGCCTGGGCCTGCGGTGGAAAGATGGTCACGACTGCAGACCTGGCCAGCAATCTGACTTTTGAGCGAGATGAGGAGTGTGACCTCCTTGACCAAGGAGCACCCCATGGATTCCATGGGGGCCGCTGACATGGATAAGGCATTGGTAGCCAGTAGGCGCCGGGCCAGGGACCTCTGAATGCCCAGGCATACTGCAGAATGTGGGGAGGGTCGTGAACTGGATATAGGGTTCTGGGAGAGAGCCTCTGTGAGGAGAAAAGCCGCAAACACTTCCCTCATGGTGGAAAAGCAAAGGAGAAAGGGTTTAAAACTTCACTACTTGCTCATTAACAATATGAGCTGCTGCCTTACAAAGGGGACACTAGCTTTTGGGGAACCAAAGTCTCTGAAGTTTGCAAGACTTATCCCTGAGCAGGCTGTGAGGGGTTCTCCTCTCCAACCAAATCCTCATGCTCCTGATCAAGCCTCCCATGGTGGAGTCAGGCCATGTCTACACTACCAATCTGTGTCAACAAAAGTGATGTTGACACAATAAAAATCGCAATTTCATGTTCACACTTGCTCCCTTTG